GGCTTCATGCACCCTCTTTAAACTCTCCGCAAATTGTCATATGATGTGTTAGGTGGTTAAATTGTGCATATTATCACTTAAGAAGAAGTACTGATTGTAAAATATTTTTAAAACTCGGCGATATCTGGTGATAAATAGTTTTGGCCAGCTTTTCAGGTCCAATACCACAGTGTGCGGCGGCGGCCGAGCGCGCAACGGAATCCCTGATGTTCTGTCTGTCTGTCTGTCTGTCTCTCTCTATCTCTCCCCCTCCCTTTCCTCCCTCCCTCTCCCTCTCCCCCTCTCTCATTGCCGCAATGGAAATTACTTTCCGCCATTGTTAAGAATTTATTTTCGGGAATTTTGAGAAGATTTATTTACTGAGTGTTCCTCAAGTATGTTGCTGAATACCCTGAATACACCCATGGTGCGAGGATCGCACAACACATTCCCGCTTTTGCCGGCGCGGAGCGCCGGCATAAACACTTTTACTGGAATATTTAGAAAAATGCTGCCAATTTCACAAAATTATAAAGTTTGATTGGAATTTTGATCGCAGGATAATAGTTATGAAATTTGTATTCAAACCACTGAACTTAATTGTAAATGCCTTCGTGATATGTGATGAATTCATACATTCAGACTCGACTTGTCGATATTATGACGCATCTCCAATTAAATATGTAATTTATTAATGATGCCTCCTATTAAAGACGGCAATCCGTAAAAATCTTAGCTTTTCTACGATTCATTAGGTTCCATTAAATTCATTGACATCATACTTCAGATACGATTATATATTATAATCTTTCCTTAAGCATGGTCATCAAAAATCAACTTTAATGGGAAGAGTGACTATCCGATGTTTAAATAGTCTTAAAACTAAACGGTTTTCGCTTAGCATCGCCCGTATTTTAAATTTGGCGGTCAAAATCTCTCCGCTGATAGTTCACCACCCACCCGCCCGCCCAGAGCGCCACCTCCTTAGCGCGTGTCCTCTCCCCATGTCTCGAAGTAGAAACATCAACAACACAAACAGTCCGTGATAAACCTCAGTGCAATGATATGTAAACAAATGCGCATTGTGTAATCATTAATCAATAAATCAATCATGTTTGTGCAGTATTATTATGTTATATTTGTGTTCAGTACCTTGTAAAAAGGAACCGTGAAAGATGGAATCTGCCGGGATTCTAATTTTCTATATTTCGACGGGAAATTAGAATTTTAGGTCCGATTTTCAAAATTCAAAAATGGCGAACGTGGTCTAAACTGTTATCTTGGCTTCCGATCCATCGATTTTTGTGAAATTCGGTATTAGGAGGTGTATTTCGACGGAAAACTCGCATTTTTGGTCAAATTTTCAACATTTCCTAATCCAAGATGGCGGCCCCGCACGAAAACGCGGTCCGGACTCCTGGAACATCAATTGCTGTAAGACTTGGTGAAAAAGAAGATTAAGACATAGATGTTGTCTCCTCATCAATGTTAAAAACTGTGCGGGGCGGTGGCGCGGCGGCTCGCGGAGCGAGTCGCAAGTTCGTCGCGAAGCGTAGAACTGGGGTCCAGGGGCACTCCCTGGCTAGACGTGTCAGCTCGCAAAGCGACCTAATCACGACTAGTTATACAATAATTTGAATTCCTAGGTTTCACCTGACTCAAAGCGTTTGCTGCTGATATCAAGGCGCGTTCAGACTCATTTATCGGAGAATTGAACGTTTCTTATCGGCCCCTCTACAATTATGAGATTAGTCCAAAGCTCCTTTAGGAACTTAAATTAATGACTCAGGTGGTGCTTTTGAGCCAACTTTCAAAGAATTAAAGGCATTTTTCAAAATTTTAGTCCATATATTCTGTGTGATTTCGCAGTGCCCTCACTAAATGACGCGTAACCCTTCAATTTTTAGTTTAGTCCAAATACCTTGTAGAAACTTAAATTAATGAACCAGGTGGTGCTCTTATGCCAACTTTCGAAGAATTAAAGGCATTTTTTTTTTTTGAAATTTACAGTCTTTGAAAATGAGCTGTTTGTGTGATGTCGCGGAGCAAAGTGCCCTACTTTTGGGCCTCGTAATCCCTTGAATTTTGAGTTTAGTCCAAAGATCTTTTAATGACCCAGGTGATGTGCTTGATGCCCATTGTTAAATAATTAAAGGCATTATCCAAAATTTACAGTCTTTCAAAATGAGCTTTCCGTGTAATTTTGCTAAAAATGGACAATTTAGCGTAGCCCCCCCCCCCCCCAAATTTTAGTGTACCCCAAAATCGTTTGACGTGCTTAAGGAGACCATAGATATGGTGTTCTGTGCTAATTTTGAATGAAATCGAACAGATAGATTCTGAGATATCGCTGTAGACAGATTTGGGGGACGTCGGACGGACGGACACACATTTTTTCAAGTATGGTTATTTTGACTGCTGGGACCTTAAAGCGTCTAGAAATGATGTAATTTCAACTTTTTTTTTTCTTGGAGGATGACAATTCTTTCTCTCTGCCCTAGGGGAGCGAGAAAGTAAAAACACGAGTGGGCTCATTGCGATTCGGAACTCGAACTATACTATCGTTGAGCAGTTTTTAGACCCCTACGCCACCGATAATCTTCTTAAGAGGTAAAGATGAACTTTTGCTACTTCAGCGAGTCAAATCGCGGAAGGAGATCCATGGATTGTCTCTTTCCGCCACCCGAAGGGATGACGTCCCAGTCGAATGCGTTTTTGAAGAAATGATCGATCCCCATCATCGCTTCATCTCCACACGTCTATTCATGTGCAATTGATGGCACGCTCCGGCAACAAGGTTCTGTGACGAAATCATTTTTGCCTCCAGAGTCTCCAAAATGTATACATCTCAGAGATCAAACGTCCTATCACTGAGAAAAATGGCTCGCGTAGCGAGTGATCGGGGGTCCAGGGGGCGCAGCCCCTTGGCTGGCCGTGACGGACGCGCAAAGCGCATCCAGAACGACTAGTATTCCTCATAAATTCGGTTTCTATTGAAGGAAATCTGGCAACGTCTGATGGCTCATACGGTACGGTATTCCTCCTCAACACGGCAGTATAGGTGAAAATTACGCGAAATACTTTTAAAATTCTTAGCGGTTAGGGGGAGACGCTCACCATCCTATCAGAGATTAATACAAATACTGTTGCTAATATTCATTCATAGAAAGAAAAAAAAAAAGAAAAAAAAATTGGCATTACAGAAAGACTTTTGAGGAAATTGGATGCAGAAAATTATCAGTCTTAGGCAATTTCTTCATAAAAAGTTTTGATTACGGGAGGGGGGGGGAGGGGGTGGTTGTGAGCGGAAAATACACATGACATACAAGCACTCTAAATAGTATTTAAAATTTTTTTGCTCGGAGCTTACTATTGACCGTTTTCATAGAGTAGGGAAATGTTAAAGCTGAGATTGCAACTAATTTTTGCTTTGCTGAACTGGAACTGATCGCATTCCTGATTCCCGTAACTTTTGCAAAATACTGATATGTTCACTTTTTCCTGAAAATTGCCACCCTGTACACGAGAGACTTGGCGACTGTAATGTTTTGAAGCGCCCTGCTTTGACACCCATTTTCATTTTAAAAACTTCCCCTCCAATCAGTTAACTTCACTCTAAAAAAGGAAAGAGCAAATTTTCAACTACTTCGGTACTTAGATCGACTGATTTGAATATTCATGAGGGAAAATAATGCTTCGCCAGCAGTGAAAAGACAAAGCTGAGAGGGTATATGGATCAAATAATTAAGATCTCAAGGCTGGCATCATTCCACACAGACTCTGTATCTATTCTCTCCCTAAATTTCAATAAGATGGTTGAATCGTCACCATGAAAAGAAAATTTTCTTCTTGAACCAACAGAAGTTCGAATTAAAAAATGTCGAATTTTTTCAAGAAAATTTCATAGATATGGCTTGACTTCATCCAAGCAACTAATAAGTTTAAGACCTAGTTGGGCGATTCCAGGAAAATTTAATCCTTAGATAATTACTTGGAGAAAAAGTAAACATTTTATGCAACAACAAATCCAAAATTTATTCTTCCTTCCCTAGTGAGAAAAATTACAAAAGATAGGTAAGCAATTATGAGAAATTTTATGCTACTATGAACCTATTTATCAAGCCATAAAAGTTCACTACTACTACTTCTTCTCTTAATGGACGTACAGCAGACAATTATTTCAAATTCCCATTTTAATTCATATTTTACTTGCAACTCTAGTCCAATAGATACGTACATGCACTATCCGTGGCTAGAGGCAAATACTGCAAAACTATGATTGTGAAACTCCAAAACTCAACTGACTCAATTATAATTTATATGAGAGAAAACAAACCGTACGGTTTTTCTTGAAATGTGGATACTATACATTTTCTTCCGTCATTACTTGCCATAAGATCACAGAAAACTTCAGAAAGATATTTTGGTTTGTTTCCGTTATGGAAATTAGAATTGTTGAGCGGTTTCCAAACATCGCAGAGCTAGATATTTATTTACTTCAGCGATCAGTAGGAAAGTATGATGAAGAATAAGTTAAATCTAAGACTTCCTTAACCAAAAACTAAAGAAAGATCTTGGCCAGATACTTTTTTGAGCTTCTTATTCAGATGCATTAGTAGTTTTTGCCTTCCCAGCTTCTGGTCCACATCTGATCTACTTGAAGGTTCAAACTTGAATTTGAAAGTAGCGAATTGTTTGTGTCTTAGGATGGAGTTTTCCTAGTCCTGATAGCCTAAATCTTCACAATGATCTCTGGGTCAAAATGTACGTGATGAATTCTGACAATAATATGAAATTTCAATAAAAGCTCATGACAGTGAAGTAAATCCGTCATCTCAAAGTAACTTCTGAATAATGCTGTTATTCAAAAGCACAGTCAAAAGGACTTTGAAGGTGATCTTTATCAGTCTGCACATAGCACTGTGGCCTGCAGGCTTGGGCTGGGGAGACTTCAGTTGCTGAAACTTGAGACTAAAATCCGTATGGAAAAAATATAAGACGGCATTATTAGAAATACGTACCCTCAAATACGTTAATAATCCATCTCGGGCGGCATCGAAGCATTGTCGGTCTAAAGTCATTTTCTCATCGTCAACTGACATTCGCACTGGGTGATGAAATTTAACGAGGGAAAAAGGGAAAAAGTCGACAAACTTACGATTAACTGTTCAATTGCAAAACTCAGCCTACACAGCCACGAACTAATAAAACCGTGGTGGAAAAACTGGTCATACGTACAATCCCGCACCGATCACAAGACTGAGAAATCAACGGAGATTTCACCGCGGACATAACCGAGAAGGAGAAGTTGTTTTCTCGAGGGCAGGGGCAGACGATTCCACCATGCAGGAAGAGTGGGACAATGATGACGTCATTTATGTCGTGAAATATTAAAACGTAAGTTGCCAAATTGTTTTATTATTTATTTTCCACAAATTTTCCAACATGAAAAACAGAACTTCAACAGAGAGTCCCTTTATACTGAGAGTCAAGACAATTTGAATCGATTTCTGATTGGTTACCGTATTTTAGGCCTCCACAGTGTGCCACAGTGTCACAAACGGGAATAAACAATAGACGCTATTAGTGCCACGTCACAGTCGGTATCGATTGTATCGAACTGGATCCAAACAATCAAACATAACCTCATCTTGACACCTCCCTCCCAGAATTTCACTGTCAAAAGCCAAGAAACCGGAGTGGCGTAGGAGTGGCCTAAATCATGGTGGCCCTCGTGGGTATTTTCACCTTTCTGAAACTGCTTTATCCCGTCAACTTAACAATGCGGGAACGTTCCGCGATTAAAAGAGCTGTCTCTAACACAACTTTTTTCTCAAACTGGGCGAATTATCTCTGAAATTCTTTAGTTTCATATTGAATAGTAAGGTTATGTTTGATTGTTTGGATCCAGTTCGATACAATCGATACCGACTGTGACGTGGCACTAATAGAGTCTATACCCCCTAGACTGACCTCGAGGTCAGTCTAGGGGGTATTGGAATAAAGATTACATTTTTACCAATTGCACAGATTAGTCCAGATCGCTAACATCCAATCTAGCCAATGCTTCAGAAGCGTGAGT